GAATCTCCCAGCCTCACTCCTGCCACATTTTGGTGGACCTGGTGAGCCTCAGATATCTACATATTGACCAGCAGAGCTGAGGGTGGCACCAGTCATGCATAGTGGTCTACAGAGAACAATCATCACATGCCATATATTCTCCACCACTACCGAGAGAAGAGAGGAAAGAGAGAGAAAGAGAGAGAGAGAGAGAATGAGGAGAGAGAATGAGACCGATGGGAGAGAAAAGGAGAGAAAGGAGAGCTGAGAAGGAAAGGAGAGAGAAAGAGAGAGGGGGAGGGAGAGGAGGGAGAAGAGAAAGAAAGAAGAGGGAGCAAGAGAGGAAAAGGAAAGAGAGGAGAGGGGGGAGAGAAGACAAGAGATGAGAGAGGAGAATGCATGGAGGGAGGGAGCAAGGAGAAGAAAAATGAGAAAGGCAGAGACAGGTGAGAGCAAGGAGAGAAAAAGGAGAGAAAGAGGAGGAGAAAGGAGAAGAGAGGGCTGGAGCGATAGTATAGTGGGTAGGGCATTTTCCTTGTACACAGCTGACCCAGGCTCCCCTGAGCACCGCCAGAAGTAATTCCTGAGTGCAGAGCCAGGACTAACCCCTGAGCATTGCCAAGTGTAACCCAAAAAGAGAAAAAAAAGAGAAGAGAGACTGGGGAGGGAGAGAAAAGAGAAAATGGATGAGGAGAGGGAGAGAATGAAAAAAGAGTGAGAAGGAGAGAGGAGAGGGAGGGAGGGAGGGAGGGAGGGAGGGAGAGATGAAGGGAGAAAAAGAGGGAGAGGGAGAAAAAGAGGGAGAGGGAGAAAAAGAGGGAGAGGGAGAGAGGGAGATAGAGGGAGGGGAGAGAGGGAGGGGAGAGAGGGAGAGAGAGAGGGAAAGAGCGAGGGAGAGAGGGAGAGAGGGGCCGGAAGAAGAGAGTTTTTGGCCACATTGCTAAGCAATGAGTAAAACCTCCCTGCAGCCGGGCCCAGTTTCTGAGGGGGAGCATTTGACTCTCAGCACAGCTCTGTGATTTATGTTAATAAATATATTGTTCCTGAGGTACAGAAGCACATTTATGATCAAATATATCAAGACCCAAACCTCAACTCTAATTATAAGAAGTTGACTGGTGGGTAATGGATCAAATTAAAGCTCATTAGCCAGAGGCAAACTGCAAAGACAGAGCAAGAGGCCACAGGGGGGACTGGGGGGAAACTCGCAGCCCATGATAGACCTGGGACCCCGGCAGGGTGACCACTGGCTTCCTCCCCGCCGGGCTCATCAATCATCGGCCTCTCCACCAATGTTCAGCCAGGAATGATAAGGAAGGAGGGAGATAAAACTCTCCCCCTGGACATCACAACAGGACAAGGGCACACCGGGGACAGATGGTCTAGTTTACGGGAGACGGTAGAATCACTCCCTGTCCTCCGGAAGATGCGCTCTCCCTTGGAGCCCAGGGACATGGCCGCATTCATAATCAAGTTAACATGAGGTCACTAGGATGCAAGACAGCACAAACGACACCCTATAGATTGCAGACACAGGGGTGGGCAGGAGCACCATGTGATGGGACCGAGTTTGGACCCATGTGCCAGCCAGTCAAGGACTGCTGAGATCACTGACAACCGGAAGCTCCAAGGCCCAGAGCAGATCCTCCCTCTGTTGGTAGGGTCTTGGCCCCACACATGCTCTGGGTCAGGACTTTTAACCTCCAGAACCTCCAGTTCTGGTCATGTTATGCCATGCAGTTTTGCAGTGTTTTGCAAAGTGGACCCAGGAAACCAAGGAAGATAGATGCAAAAAGTAAAACAGCTTGCAGGAAAGGAAAGAGGGAGCACTGAAGGTTGGGCTTGGAATTGAGTTACAGTCCCTCAGAAGTCCTTACAGTACCAGAGCTGGGGAGGCAGGTGCAAAGGCCCTGGGGCAGGGCTGGGTCTGGAGAGGTGAGAGGAGGGACTTCCTGGGGAGAGGAAGGCTGTTCTAATCTGCTCTGTGAGAAATGATACTGGGAGAATTCTGAGGGAGTGGTGTGATCTGAATTTTAATTTGTTTAACTTTAGGGGGAGGTCACACCCAGAGGTGTTTGGGGGTCCTTCCAGGCCGTGCTCCTATGAGGAACTGGGAATGGTGCTGGGAGTTGTACCCAGTCTCCCACAAGCAAGCATAACTTGAGTTCCCTCTGGTACTGAGCCAACTTTTCATTTCGATTCTAAAGACTGTGTTCTACCTTGCTCGAGTAAAGGCCCTCCCGTTGATCATCGATTTGCTCGAGCGGGCCCAGTAACGTCTCCATTGGAGACTTTGTTGTTACTGTGTCTGGCACCTCGAATACTCTCGGTAGCTTGCCGGGCTCTCCGAGAGGGGCGGAGGAATCGAACTCGGGTCGGCCATGTTGGCTGCGTGCAAGGCAGATGCCCTACCCGCTGTGCTATCGCTCCGTGTCAAAAACAGGTCTCCATGGCTGAAAGCTCTGGGCCTTCCTGGGGTCGGGAGGGGTGACCTCCCCCTGTTCTTTCAGAAGCTCCAGCAGCCACTTCCACGTCCCACAGCTGCACGTAAGCTCATCAACCGGCCCTACTCCAGACACTCAGAAATAAATTTTGAAAGAGCATTTGAAAAAATGCTCTATGTCACTAAATCATCAGGGAGGTGTAAATCAAAACAACAATGAGATATCATCTCATGCCACAGAGACTGGCACACCCCAACAAGAACAAGAACAACCGGTGCTGGTGCAGATGTGGGGCGAAAGGGACTCTCCTTCACTGTTGGCGGGAATGTCGACTGGTCCAGCCTTTATGGAAAACAATATGGCATTCCTCACAAAACTAGAAATTGAGCTTCTATCTAACCCAGTAATACCACTTCTTGGAATATACCCTGGGGATCCCAAAACACAGCAGAAATACCATGGGCAGGGCAGAGCATTAAGACAAGGGGTAGGACACTTGCCTTGCACGTGGCCAACTCAGGTTCGATCCCTGGAGTTCCATATGGTCTCCCTAGCATCACCAGAAATAATTCCTGAGTGCAGAGCCAGGAGTAACCCCTGGACATTGCCAGATGTGACTAAAAACAAAAAAACAAAACAAAACAAAAATGTGATCTGCTTTTCTATGTTTTGTATTGTAGCACTATTTGCAGTAGCCAGAATCTGAAAACAACCTGGGTCCCTGAGAACAGTCGACTGGATAAAGAAATGATGGTGCATCTACACAGTGGAACACTACACAACCACCAGGAAAAATAAAATCACGAAATTTGCTAATAAGTGGATGGACATGGACAGTATCATGTTGAGTGAAATTAGTCAGAGGGAGAGGGACAGACATAGAATGACTGCACTCATTTGCAGGACTTAAAAAAACATAGTACGAGACCAACACCCAAGTAGCATAGAAATGAAGCGGTTGGAGACTTACCACAATGGTGGTGGGAGGGCATTGGACAGAGAAGGGGCCACCGTGACAGTGTTGGAAACGAACACTCAGCGGGAAAGGAGGGAAAGAAGAGTGTTGGAACATTGTTACGACTGAAACCCAATTACCAACAACTTTGTAACTGTGTATCTCATGGTGATTCAATTAAAAAAAAAAAAGAAAGAAAAGAATTGTATTTTATTAGTGTGTGTGAAGCTAGGGATTTAACCCAGGACTCCACATCCAAGAGAGATGTCCTAGGCTGAACTGCCACACTGGCCCCTGAGCTGATGGTTTAAAGAAGCCGAATCAGCAGAAAATGCCAGCATATGGGGCCAGCATGGAGCACGGGAAACTGAGGCTCCCTGTCACAGCAGCTTCACAGGTGGGACTGAGACAGCGGGAAGGCACGTGTCCTGGCTCAGCCCCCGGACTCCACATGCCCCGCCCCAGCCCAGCAGGTGAGATTCCCTGTGTGCAGAGCCCTGCATAGCCATGTGAGACCTGCCCAAACAAACAGAACCGCCGAAGAAAACCCAAAAACCAAAACGGGCTTAGAAGTATGTGTGGTTGTGTAATGTATATGTGGTGTGTGTATGATGTTCGATGTGTTTGTGGTGTGTGTTGTGGTGTGTATATGGTGTTTGATGTATCTGAGGTGTGTGTATGGTACATGTGGTGTGTGTGCATGGTGTATGGTGTGGTGTGTGTGATGTGTATAGTGTATGGTGTATTGTGTGTATATGGGGTGTGGTGTACGGGTGTGTGTGTATGGTGTGTGTGTGGTGTGTATAGTGTGCATATGGTCTATGGTGTGTGTGTGTGTGGTGTACGGTGTGTGTGTGTTGGGGGGTGCGCGCGGCTGGGGCCGGCGGGCTGGGTGAGGGGCGGGCAGCGGCGCGTGCAGGGGTGAAGGCGTCCCCTCCGCAGCGGGGGTGGGAGGCGGCCCGGTCCCGGCAGGCAGTCGCGTCCCCGCGCAGCCCCGGAGCCCGCAGTGGGGGCTGCCAGGGCAGCGGAGCCCCCGCGGCGGGACGGGCGGGGGCAGCGGCTCCGGGCCTCGCAGGTGCCGCGCGCGGGCGCCCGCACACTCCCGCCGGGCCGGGCCGGGGCGGCGCGGCCAGCCCGCAGCGGGAGCCTCCTCCGGAGGGGCACCCGGGGGTGCCCCGCCTGGCCAGGCCGCGGGGGCCCGAGCGCCGCCCGCCCGCCCGGGCGCGGCCTAGCCCGGAGGCCGGACCCCGAGCGCCGCACGCCCCGCCCGGCCCGGCCCGGCCCCGTCCGCGCGCGCCCCCGCCCGCCGCGCGCAGGCGCCGTAACGCCGGCGGCGGCCGGGCCGAGCGGGTTTGAAAGGCGCGGCGCGTGCGCAGTGGCGGCGGGGCGGGCGCGGCGTCCCGGGCGCCGATTGGCGCGCTCGGCGGCCCCCGCCCCCGCCGGCCGCCCCGCGCCCGCCCAGGGCCCGTCCCGCGGCAGCCCTGCTCCGCCGCCCCGCGCCGCCCGCCCGAGCCGCACAGGCCGGGGCGTCCGTGCGTCCGTGCGTCCGTGCGTCCGTCCGTCCGTCCGGCCGCCGTGCGTCGGCGCGCGGCCCGGCTCGGGGCGCGGCGGGGGCGGGGCCGGGCGGCGGCGGCGGCGGCGGCGGCGGGCGCGGGGCCCGCGGGCGGCGCGTGGATGGATCCGCGCGTGGCCTGGATCCAGCCGGAGCAGAAGGGACCGGCCAATGCGCTGTGGATGCAGATCTGGGAGACGTCGCAGGGCGTGGGCCGCGGCGCCTCGGGCTTCGCGTCCTACTTCTGCCTCAACTCGCCGGCGCTGGACCCCGCGGCCGCGGCGGCGCGGGGGGGCGGCCGGGCGGGGCGCGGGCGGCGGGGCCGGCGGGGGCCCCGGGGGGCCCGGGGCGCCCGGGGGGCCCGGCCCCGCGCCGCCCGCGCCGCCCGCGCCCGCGCCCGGCCCCGCCGCGCTGCCCCCCGCGCTGCTGACGGCGCTCGGGCCCGACGGCGCGCGGCGCCTGCACAAGTCGCCGTCGCTGTCGTCGTCGTCGTCGTCGTCGTCGTCGTCCAACGCCGAGTCGGGCACCGAGAGCCCCGGCTGCTCGTCGTCGTCCAGCGGCGCGTCGCTGGGCCGGCCGGCCGCCGCCTGCTTCCACTTCGGGCCGGCCGCGCCCGCCGCGTCCCCGCCGCAGCCCCGCGCGCCCCCGGGCCGGCGGAAGCGCGAGAACAAGGCCAGCACCTACGGCCTCAACTACCTGCTGTCCGGCAGCCGCGCGGCCGCGCTCAGCGGAGGGGGCGGCCCCGGGCCGCAGGCGCCCCGGCCGGGCACGCCGTGGAAGGGCCGCGCCTACAGCGCCGGCATCCAGGGGTGAGTGCGCGGCCCGCCCCTCGCGCCCCGCGGACCCCCGCGCGCCCCTCGCGGCCCCCGCGCGCTCCCCGGGCCCCGCGCGCCCCGGGCCCGCCCCGCGTGGACCCCGCGGCGGGACCCCGGGCGGGGGCCGGCGGAAGAGCCGTTCCCGGCGGTTGGGGTGTTCCCCGGAACCGGCGCATCCTCGGGCCGGCCCGGGCGGTCCCGGAGCGCCCGCGCCCACCCAGCGGGGCCTGATTAGGGGGCGGCGCGGTGGCACTGCGGAGGCCGCTCGCCGCCGACCACGCTGGGGGTGTGGCCGCGCGGCCAGGTGCGGCTGCCGAGCCGGCGTGGACGCGGGCTTCCGTGCTGCTGTCCGGGCGCCGAGGGCTTGCCAGGGCTGCAGGGTTGTCCGGCGGAGGCCCCCCCGTTGCTGGGTGGTTACCGGGCCGGTGGTGGTCGGTGCTGTTGGGGCGGGACGTGGGCCCGCCGTGCTGGGGTCTGCGCGTTGCCCGGTGCGGCAGGTCCGGGCGCCCGAGCCTGCAGTCCACACCCGGCGGGGCTGCTGCCAGTCCGAGCCCGGGGTCCGGACACTGTCCCCCTCCGGTCTGCAGGGAGGAGCCCACCTGCCCTCCTGGTCCCCAGCAGGTCCCGCATCACACTCCCGTGCCAGTGCCCGGCTTAGGCTTCCCCTCGGGGCGCCCCGCTGCATCCTTTTGTTGATAGGTGCTGGCGCGGGCCGGGTGCTGGGCCGGGCACCGTGGCAGGGGCGGTGGTTGGCTGCTCAGATCCGCGGCTTCACAGCAGCTCCGGTGGTCAGGCAGACGGGGCTTCCCTCCTGTCAGAGGCTGCCAGGGGCGCCTGAGGGGGTGCGGCCCTGCTCCTAGGGCATTGCCCAGTACCGCTAGAGGGGTCCTGAGCGGCAGGCCTTCTGGGTGCTGCTGACCCCTCAGTTGGCCCGTTAAGTTGAGCTTTGGGGCTGCACGGTCCAGGCTGCTGCTCATTTCCCTTGTCTTCTCTCCTGTGGGTCTGCTTTCCCCACCTGGCCTAGGGGCTGCCCACTTGCTGCCCTGCCTGGAGAAACCAACCGGCCTGCTGGCCTGGAGGGCGGGGTGGGCTCTCTCTGCCCCCTCTGCGCCTCTGAAGGCAGGGGTCTCTCCCTGTCCCCCTCTACGCCTCTGAAGGCTGGGGTCTCTCCCTGACCCCTCCCCCCCTCGCTTCCGAAGACAGGGAGTCTCGCCCTGCCCCCCCTCCCCCCATAACTTTTCTGCCAGCCTTGAGTGAGTGAATGGGCCTGGCCGGGTGAAGTGTCCCCAGAGCCCTGCTCCCTGGAGCGTGCCACGGCCACCATGTTTGCACCCGATGCTCTCCAAAGGGAAGCAGGGGCGAGAAGGGCCAAGTGGGGTCTATGCGGAAGAAGCTGCTGCCAAGGAGACTGCCTTGTCCCGACAGACGTTTCTGGAAAGAGGGGCCTGGTGGGGGAAGGAGCGGTCTTGCAGGGCACTCGTGGCCTGGCCTTGCACACGCACATGAGACTGACCTGGGCTGCGGGTCACCTGCTTCCTCCTGGGCGTCCGGGACCAACAGGGGAAAGTGGAGAGGGTCAGTGCCCTGGCCTTCAGCCTTTGGGAGCTGAAGGACATACGCTGTCGCCTGGGCCTCTGCCCCGAGGGTGTGGGCAGCGTGCGCATGCCACTGATCTACACTCCCTCTAGCTCCGCCAGCTTACAGCACCTCACTTTATAGGATGGGAGAGGCCCTGGGGGAGCTGGGTCCGAGGGGTGTGCAGTGGCTGTTCCCGCCCCCAGTGACCACAGGTCAGCTCTGTGCCATGGTAGAGGATTGTGGGGTGGGGGGGGGGGGCTCTCCCAGACCTGGGCAAGAGAGACCATGTCCAGCAGATGGGGGCATGGGCCCAGCACTCTCATGCCACCCTGCTGGGTCCGGGCCTTGAGGCCTCCTTGCGCTCGTCCCTCGCTCCTGGGCAGTGTTCCATTCCCCTAACAAGAGGCTGCTGCTTGCCCGAAGGGGGATGCCGAGGTGCCTCCATGCCCGGACGTGATGTCAGGATCACACCGTGGGGTGAGGTGGGGTCTGGAACGTGGGTTAGAGGGCGGGCTGCAGGCCGCTGTGCAGAGGGGCCCTTCCGGAAGGTGGTTTGCCCGCCCGGCTGCCTCCCGAGTGAGAACAGGTGGGTGGACTTGACCTGGGCACCCCTGACACTAACCCTGTGATTGCAGCCGGTTCAGGGATCGGGTCCAAGGTACCGTTTCCCCTGCAGGTCTGTGTGGGCGCGTCCACCCCCGTGTCTCTGGCTGCTGACCTAGTTCTGGGGAGTCGGTGCTCAGGGCCATCTCAGCTGCACCCGTTGCCCCGGTCAAGCCCGTTTCTGCCCCCCCCCCCCCCCCCACTGGCCAGAGTCCTGGGTCCCAGCTGGCGGCCAGCGGGGCCTCGGCGGTGCCTGCAGGGTTCCTGTGGCCAGGGCTTTGTGTGGGGGTTCAGCCTCCTAGAAAGAGGGCTCAGCGAGGGGCACGGGCGTGGGAAAGCAGGTGGGGAGTTGGGGGTTGCAGCTGAGCTTCGTGTTTGCTGCCCCGTGGGTGCCTGGACGCTTCTCCTCCCAGTACCCGCAGGCCTGCAGCCTCTGAGCCCACCCCAGACAGCAGCAGAGGGCACTGTGCTGGGACTCCCCAGCTCCCCAAGGACTGTCTGTACCCCCAGGCCCCTTGACATTTGTGCTGCAGCCCAGGGCCAGGGGAGGGTCCTCGCCCAGGACCCTGCTGCTTTTCTTAGTTTCCTTTTTGGGGGGTCATACCCTCTGAGGCTGGGGGGTCACACTCGCGTCAGCCCCCTCTCCACCCGCCCCCCCCCCCGTGAGTTACCCCGGCCCCTGCACGCGCTGTCCATTTTGCTTCTCTGGTCCCCTGGGAAAGGGGCGGCCTTCCCAGTGCCAGGCACACTGCAGTCCCCCGGCCAGTGTTGGGGGACGGGTGGGTGGAAGGACCTACTAGCAGACTGTCCTGTGGAGGGAAGACACCACAGTTCGCTTTGATGCTAAGTCTAGAGTTTAAATAGACGGGTGCTAGTTTGGTTGGAGGTGCCTTGCTTTATGGTGTGGTCGGTGACGGGGTTTCATGCCCAGGGCAGCTCCAGCTGCAGTCCCCACCCTGTTTGCCCCCCCCCCCCCCCCCCCCCCCGGGTTCCTGCCTTCAGAAAGGTCGGCTCTGTGGACCAGGTCTCAGGTTCTATTGCCTTTGGGCGTTTGTTACTTCTTTACTGTGTTTCTCTATACCTCACATATGGGAAGGGAGTATTTTGTAGCTGCACCTTTCCTTCTGGCTGAAGCCATTCAACATGGTATTCTCCAGTTCCATCCATGAGGCAGCAACCTGCACGGTTCCATCTTCTTTTTAATAGCCGAGTAGTATTCCATCGTATATATATATATATGTATATATCACAGTTTCTCTTTCCAGTCGTCTGCTCTTGGACAGTTGGGATGTTTCCAGATCTTGGCTGTTGTGAACTGCGTGGCAATGAAAATTGGAGCATAAATTGTCTTCTCAAAATAGTGTTTTTGGGCCTTAGGGTGTTTGCTAAGCAGTGGAATTGCGGGGTCAGGTGGAAGCTTACCTCTTGGTGTTTTAGACGTGTCCGTGTTGTTTTCCAGAGCGGTCACTGTGTGCCACCGAGCCAAACCTCATCGGAAACTGAACGGAGAGGTGAACTGACGTTTCCTGAAGGCTTCTGGGCGGGTGTGTGGGCATGGAGTTTTAATTCCCAGATGGGTCACTCTTTGCATCCCTAATCCTGTGGATTAGGTCCAGGTTAATTCCTTGAGCCGTCACATGTGGTGGGAGCTTGTGTCTCTCACCTTGGGAGATTTCAGATGATGCTGACATTCTGGAACCCCGTGGATCGGAAGGAGTGATGGCGGGGAGGGAGGGGAGAGCGGGCAGGCAGCCCGTGGTTTCTGTCCTGTTTGCTTTGCCCCTCTGTTGGTGGGGGCATCAGTTCCAGCCCCGAGGGTGTGTGTACGGCCCAGAGCTGGCTGGGCCCGCATACACTGCTGTGGTTTGTGGTAAGAGGCTAAGCATTGGTATTTCTCCCTTTCCGGACTCAATGCTCTAGAGTGCGTGGGCTCTCCTACGTGAGACCTGTCGTGGTGGTGGGAGTGACCCTCCCCTCAGAGTGGACTTTCTCCCCCACAGCCAGGAGCTGACTTCCAGTGTGCAGAGTCAGGTTTTGTCAGAGTCAGGCCTGGGGTTCCAGAGCTCCCTGTGGTGGAGAATGAAGTTTTGCCAGGCAGGCTCCTGGCGGGGGTGTGGGCACCCTTGCCCCGTGCCTTCTGGGGCGCAAGCCTCTAGTCTCACAAGAAACAGGTCCTCTCAGTGAGCTAAGTTGAGGAGCGGCGTCAGGGGGTGACTCTTGTGTCCCAACCAGTCATCACACATGTGGACGACTCCCCGGACACTCAGGGCTCTGGGGGGCTTCCGGCTGAGCATCTGTGCCAGTTAGAGCAGAGGTGTCAGGCTGGATTTGAGCCCGTGTCCGAGTTGGACCTTCCTGTGGAACTGGGCCTGTCTGTGGCCTCGCTTCAGGTGGACAGTGCCGGAGCTGAGCTGACCGGGCCCCCTGGCCGATGGCCGAGGGCCCCCGGAACTGGTGTCCACGTGACCTCCGGTTTGGGTAGGCGCCGTCCCGGGCACTGAGGCTCAGCGTCCTGACGTGTGCGGGTGTGGGGAGCTGCTGGACCCCTCGCGGCGTGTTGACTGGGAAATTTGGACGCGCTGTGGGCACGTCACATGAGGGATTACAAAGGCCCTTTCCTTTCCTCCCGTCCACTGAGGAAATTGAAACCAAAAGTCTGGGGCTTCTTGTTGCCAGCTGGACGGAAAAATGCCTCTCGCTGGGTTCTGAAAGTTTAGAGACTTTCCCTCTCTGCCGGAGCGTCCTCCCGGAGACCGCTGGAGGCGGAAGCGCCGCCCGGGAGAGGCCCCCAGCCCTCAGAGCCAGGCCCACCCTGCGCACCGTAGAGTGGGTCGCGGCAAGGCCCGGTGCTGTGCCACCAGCGGCCGCCCTGCCCTCTCCCTGTGCCATGTCCTCTGGAAGGGGTCTCAGTAGGCGCCGCTCTCTCTCTGTACTAGCCGCCAGCATGCCTGGTGTGTGTGGAGATTTGGCGAGTGCTGGGGACGCGGACCCGGGCCCCACGAGACGGTCCCGTAGATGAGAGGGATACGTTCTGCTGCCACCCCGCGCACCGGCCACCAGGTACTTGGGATACGCCGGGTGTGCACCCGAGGAACGGAGTTCCAACTCTTAAACGGGACTCAGCCTTGCATTCGGGCAGGCAGAGCTGGGGCACGCTTAGGCGTTTATTTGAAAGTGATTTGGTAGCTTGTCTTAAGTCAGTCGGAAGTCGGGCACCCACGAAGCTGTGTTCCCCCGCGGGTCGCCCCTGCAAAGCTCGAGGTTGCGACTGTGTGTTTTCAGAGGCCACTGTGTTTGTAAGCTGTGCGGCCGCAGGCAGCTCCTGGTTGGGTGCTCCCCAGCGTGGCTTTCCTGCTGGAGTGGGGTAGGGGGTGAACGCTGCGTCTCTCCTGGTTGGCCTGGCCAGGGCCCCGCGCGGATTCCACATGTGGCCGCAGTGTATTTCTGTGTGTGGCCCCAGCGTGGCTCAGGGTGTGGCCCCAGCGTGGCCCTGGGTGCGGCCTTGTGTGCCAGCTGCCCCACAGGCCCCTCCCTGCCTCTGGTAGCCCGCTGACAGGGCGGCTGCGCCTGTAGACGGAGCCCAGATAGGCCAATGACGTGAGCTGGCCGAGGCGCACGGGAGCTCCCGGCAGTGCTCGCCGCCGCGGTTCTCCGAGAGAGCAGCACCCGTTCCGTTCCTGTGAGTGTCCTGCAGGCTCAGGAGAAGAGGACTCTGGGCCAGGGGTGGCCCTGGGGCCACTGGGCACCGCCTCATCGCCCCGAGGACACTCGTGGGCATGTGCTGTGAGGGGAGCACGGTGCTGGAGGCCTTTCCCACTGCCTCTAGCTCGGCCCCTTTCGGGACAGACTCCTGCTGGTGCCTAGGAGCTGCTCCTCGCCAGTGCTCAGAACATCTGTTGCCGTGGATTGAACTTGGGGCTCCCACACGCGAAACCTTTGCTCCAGCCCTTAACCCAGCAGCTGAGCCCAGATGCAGCTGGTCGTGAGAGACTCGCTAGGTGTCAGTAGCCTTCAGCCAGTCTTAATAAAGAGTAGTTAGGCATCAGCCGCCATCCTGGGCCCACTGGGAGGCCGAGGCCCCGAGGTCTGTGTGCGGCTTAGCGAGGGCCGGGCCGGCAGCGGGACCGGGGCTCGCCGTGCCCCGAGGGCAGATACAGACTCCACTGGGCGCCTCGTCACGGAACGTGGAATTGTTAGAAATGGAAGGAAAACTCTGAAATGCCAAGAAATGCAGAGCAGGGGCCCTTGCAGGGCCTGCAAAGGGTCCTGTTCAGTGTCCCCGGCTCCCCCGGGAGCAGCAGCACATCTGTCTGGGCACTGAGGCCGAGTGTGCCCCCGGAGAGCTGCCCACTGGCCTGCGGGGCCGGGCACTGGAGGAGGAGCCGCCTCTGGGTGCGGGTGTGGGTGTGGGTGTGACTGAGTGTGGGTGTGAGTGGGTGCGGGTGTGAGTGTGGCTGTGAGTGTTGATGTTTGAGTGTGGGTGTGAATGTGCGTGTGTGAATGTGATGGAAGGTCTGGAGCCCGGACACCCAGTGGGAAGGAACTGCCTCTGAGTGTGTGTGTGCTTGTGAGTGTGAGTACAAGTGAGTGTGAGGTCTGTCGGTCCAGGCGCCAGGCAGGGAGGAGCCTTCTGGGCTCGAGGCCCCCATACTCCTAGGCATCGTGTGCCTGGACTGTGTCTCTGGCTCCCAGCCCGGCCCTGTGAGTGACCCCGGGGAGCACACGTGTGGGCGCACTATTGAAGGGAACCCTGCCCTATCCTCACCCCCTGACTGTCACCCAGGCTAGGAAGGGAGACAGAACCCAGGTGGCAGTGGGGCTGGGCGAGGGGCTTGCCTTGCATACGTGCTCACGCCTGGACGCCTGGGTGGTTTCCCTTCCTCCCACGCCTGCCCTGAGCCCCACCTGCTGTGCCCGTGGGCCTCCCAACCAGCACTTTACTCCCGACTCCCAGGGGACTTTTTTTTTTTTTTTTTGCTTTTAGGTCACACCTGGCAATGCCCAGGGGTTGCTCCTGGCTCTGCACTCAGGAATTACTCCTGGCGGTGCTCGGGGGGACCATATGGGATGCCGGGAATTGAACCCAGGTTGGCTGCGTGCAAGGCAAATGCCCTCCACCGCTGTGCTGTCGCTCCGGCCCCCAGGGCACTCGTGTGCAGCCCAGAAGGAGCAGGACAGGCCCGAGAGAGGATGGCCGGCTGGGGCAGGCCTGTGGGCGAGCCTCGAGGTGGCTCCATCAAGGGAGCTGTCCCTGTGCCTGTCGCCTCCTGCCCTCGTCGCTGGCCCCCTGTTGGAGTCTCTTACTCTCCGCCCCGGCGGTGCTGGGTTTGGAGGCTCCTTTGGGTTGCGACCTGGCGTGGGCCTGGTGTGGGTCCGAAAGCCTGGGAGTTAGCGCCACAGGAAGCGGTGGAGGGCACTGTCCGGTCAGGCAGATGGGGAACAGCCTGCCGTGGCTCCCGCGGGCCCTGGCAGTGCTCGTTCCCCGCGGGGTGCGGGTGTGCAAAGGTTGGGAGCCTCCTGGTCTCCCGCCTCTAGGTGGCTGACCCCACCGTCAACCAGACGCCCCCGAGAAAGCATGCTCCCTGCTCCCCCCCCCCGCCCCCCCCATTGCCCCTGAGGACACCCAGGTTCCCTTGACAGCCGCGCCTCCTTGGGGAGTGTCGGAGTTTCCAGATCTTTCTGGGGTGCTTTTCCTGCACCCTTTTATGCCCCGAGTCCTGGAGCTCAGGGTCAGCCCTTGGATCCCAGCACTGCAGATTGTCTTGGCCTTTGGTCAGTGGACGGCTGCCCCTGGGATGTCGCCTCTTTTCTGACCCTCCCCAGGGGGTCCTCGGGGCTGCTTGGGGCTGTGACTATGTCTGGGCCATCCTTTCGTCCTGTCTGCTTCCTGGGAGGGAGCCATGCCCCTGGGCCGCACTTGTGGGCCTAGGTCCTCTGGGTCCAGTGCTGGACAGAGAGGATGGGGCTGGGGCATTGGGCTGTGTGTTCTGAGGCTACTGCTGTTTTCTGTCCGTCGGGGGCTGTCGTCTGCAGGTGGTGCGGCTCCCCCGACGTGGCCCCTGGGCCTGCTGTGTTCCCTGGTGCGCTTTGTGTATTCAGGAGGGGGGACCGCGGACCCCTGTGCCCTTATCGTGGGCCTGGCCTGGCCCCGTCTCTGCCCTGCTGGTGGCCTGTCCAATCTCTGCCTCGCCCATGAGGCCCGGGACACAGCTTCCCCAGAGCCTGGCCCTGCCTGCGGAGGCCACCCGCTTGGGTCAGCTTCCTCATGGATGTCCCAGGCCGGCAGCGGACCCCCGCCCCCCTCACAGCCAGGCCCTGTGTCCCCCTCACCACAGGCCTCTCCTGCACCCCACCCGCCCCCTCAGGTGGCTGTCGGGTTGCCGAGTCCCAGCTGTGTGGGAAGCAGGGTCCGGGCCGCTGTCCTGCAGGGGACGGAGTGGGGTGAGTCAGAGACCAGCTGCACCCCTGCCTCTGCGGCCCGACCAGGCAGGGCCAGGGGTCCCTGGACCCCAGAGGAGGGCAGGGCAAACGCACCGCCCGGAGGAAACCTGCTGAACGCCTGCCAGCACAGCCCCCGCCAGCTGCTTTCATTTCTTGCAGTGCCTTGGGGCCTTACCTGGCAGTGCTCGAGGACCATCCGGGATGCCAGGGACCGAACCCAGGTCGGCCCGCATGAGGCTATGGTCTCCCCACTGAACTGTCCCTCTGGCCCCCTCCGACTGCGCAGTCTCACCGTCCTCACTCTTGGGGGCTCTGACCCTTCCCTTCCTGTGCTCTGACCCCGCGTGAGGGGGCTTGTGAGGACAGCCCCGAGTCCCAGGTCTCTGGCGCTCCCTGCGGAGCGTGCCTTGGCCTGGCACTGTCGCCGGGTCTTGTGCCAGCGCTGGGGCCCCTGCAGGAGCAGGTCTTCCCCCGGGGCTCCCGGACGCGGGATCTCGTCCCCGGCACGGTGCAGCCGTGAGGGATAGGCCGTCTTGGACTGGCCAGGTCCACCCCGACATGCTCCACCCTGTCCCCGCAGGCTGCACGAGGAGATCATCGACTTCTATCACTTCATGTCCCCCTGCCCCGAGGAGGCAGCCATGAGGCGGGACGTGGTGAAGCGCATCGAGACGGTGGTCAAGGACCTGTGGCCCACGGCCGACGTGGGTATCTGTGCTGGCAGGGCGGGGACACGGCCTGGGGGTGCCACACGCCGGTGGTCCAGGCAGCGCCATTCACCCCGGGGCCCTGAGCGGGGGAGAGACGCGGGGAGGGGCCGGTGGATGGGGCCACACAACCCCCGGGGGACGCCCCCCTGCCCAGAGACCAGCCCCGGGACAGCCCTGCACCCGCTGTCCGTCTAGAGGCAGAAGGTTGCCGAGAGCAGCTCTGGGAGGGCCTGGCTTTGCGTATGTGTGTGTTGGGGGAGGCCTCCAAGCTCCTCTCCGGCTGACTCGCTCCTCCTCCAGTTAGCGATGAGGGGTCTCGGGGGGCTGGGAGGCTGTGGAAGGGCCCTGGGCTGAGGGTCTTGGGGGTCGGGAGGCTGGGACAGGCCCTGGGCTCAGCCAGCCTCTACCCTGCAGGTGCAGATCTTCGGCAGCTTCAGCACAGGCCTCTACCTGCCCACGAGGTGAGTGTGCTGTGTGTGTGTGTGTGTGTGTGGGGGGGGGGGTGATGGCCTCTGCTCTCCTGCCCACCTGTGGGGAGGACCCTGCCTGGGCAGGCTAGAGTATGTCTCCCGCCAACTCTGGTTTTGTTTGGGGGGTCTCCTGGCTCTGTGCACGGGGGCCCCGAGGGGGCCAGCCGTGGACGAGGCTCACGTCCTTCCTGTGTCCCACCTCGGCTGGCCTGGCCAGTACTTCTGACGGTGTTTGTAAACTCGTTCCTATGCCTAGATGTTTTCTTCTTGTGACTCTTTTTTGCCTGAGGAATTTTAACATAATCGGGTCTGTGGGTATGAAGGAGACCCCCAGACGAGTGCTATAACCATAGGTTTACCTTAAAGACCACCCCCCCGTGAGTTGTGTGACCTCAGATGAGACCAGGAACTGCAGTGCAGGGAGCTTGGTTTTAGAAGGTGCCCACAGAATCGAGTTAGGGATTTTTTTTTTTCTTTTTGGGTCACACCTGGAGATGCACAGGGGTTACTCCTGGCTCTTTACTCAGGAATTACTCCTGGTAGTGCTTGGGGGACCATATGGGATGCTGGGAATCAGACCCGGGTCGGCTGCGTGCAAGGCAAACGCCCACCCCGCTGTGCTGTTGCTCTGGCCCCCTCGAGTTAGGGATGTTTTATGAGGACGTTTCTTCTATAGAAAAGGGCTCCCACACGCTTGGTCTCAGGAAGTCTCACCTGGTGAAGGACCCCCGGTTTCCCCATCACTTCCCTGTGCTTCAGGTATTCCCGACTGAGCACTGTGAGGGTGGGCCGGGATCCGACCCCGGGCTGCCCGGCCCGGATGGCTCAGGCTCGAGGTGGGCCCTTGTGACCCTGGGGCCCCACAGGCCTCGGGGCGGCCTGTCCACGCCATGTCCTCCCAGAGCGACCCATGACCTGAAGGGCCCCGGTGGCCTTCTGTCCGCAGTGACATCGACCTGGTGGTCTTCGGGAAGTGGGAACGGCCCCCGCTGCAGCAGCTGGAGCAGGCCCTGCGGAAGCACAGCGTGGCCGAGCCGGGCTCCATCAAGGTGCTGGACAAGGCCACGGTGAGTGGGCGCGGGCCGGGCAATGCCCGCTGCGGGGAGATGGGCCACTCTGGGCATCTCGGGAGCGTGGCTGCTCCCCTCCCCGCCCCACCCGGGACTTGGTGCCAAGCCTGCGTCTGTGTGCCTTTTCCCCCCGCGCTGCCCTGGCCTGCTGTGTGGGTGCCCTCTGCTTCAGGAGGGCCTGGTGTCGGGGCATAGTTCCCAGTGCTCTATGGTGCTCGCTGGCCAAGGGCTTCTGAGCTGCCTCCTCGTCCCTGGGTTTAGCGAAGACTGGAACCCAGATGGGTTTTTGTTTTCTGGAGCTACAGCTGGTCATGCTCAGGGGTCGCGCCTGGTGGTGCTGGGGCCATGGGGGAGATGGGCAGTCGAGCCCAGGGTCCGGCTGCAGAGTTTATGTTCCAGCCCGCTGCACCATGCCCCGGCCCCCGACGCCACAGTGCTGGGGCAGGAGGTGCTTCCGGAATGACTTTGAACGTTTTCAGATCTTCCACAAAGATGATTTGAGAACCAGGACCTGCCCTTCCCCTTCCCAGCCTTTGTGGTGAGGCAGAGACCTGGGTGCGAGTGGACTTCTATCTTCTGCCCGCAGTGCCTGTGCCCCAGCACATGTGCACATGCACACGCACACACATGCACGCACATATGCACACACGTGCTCACATGCACACACATGGTCACACAGGCTCACGCGCACACATGCACACGCATGCACATGCACACACATGCACACGCACGCGCACGGAACAGGCAGTGGTGGGGATGCATGTGCTCCCAGCGAGGGCTGAGGCTGGCCAGTGGGGATGAGTGAGGCCCAGTCCCTTTCCAGTTCGTTCTTCACATCTGGCAGCGAGTCCCCAAGGCACAGCTGCCCTCAGCGCTGGACCCCTGGGAGAGTCGCGTCCTAGAGCCTTCTTCCCATGGACTCTTGGCAGGTCCCGATAATCAAACTCACTGACCAGGAGACTGAGGTCAAGGTGGACATCAGCTTTAACATGGAGACGGGCGTCCGGGCAGCCGAGTTCATCAAGAATTACATGAAGGTGTGCCCGCTGGCTGGAGGCCCAGGGCCGGGTGTGCTGGTGGGTGGGGGTCTGCCCTATGGCTGCCCTGGACCACCCCCCCCCCTCCCGGCCTGCTGGCCCTCCCCTGCTCTCCTGCTCCCGCTTGTGTTTACGAGTGCTCTCTCTGCTGCTCCCATGTGTGGCCTCGGCTCAGGGCAGCTGCTGTTGGACCCTCCCGTTCCGATTTACTTGGGTGCTCTGGAAGGGCTCCTGCCGGGGAGGGGAGCAGGGATAGTCATCCTCCTCCGTGACCTTGTCTGGGGCTTGGACCCTCCCAGAGGCCGCCCAGTGCCTGTGCCCAGAGCTCCTTCTGTGTCGGGGACCTCACTACTGGGGCTCTCCTGCGCCCCTGCCGCCCCCGCTCTGCAGGCTGGCACAAACCTCAACCCCCATGCCCAGCAGGAGGCGCCCTGCTGCCCCCGCCCTGCCCCTGCCCCTCAGCTCTGCCCACTCTGCATGTCCCCGCGGGTGCCCGCTTGCAGAGGGGCTCCTAGTCGTGTCCCCGTCAGCTGCCCAGCCGTTTCTCAGCACCTGCTCTTGCTGGGTGACGAGCTTGGGCTTTCGTAGGACGGGATCTGGGGGGCAGTGATGACAAGTGGCTGAGCTGACCAAGACGCTTTTCCTCTGGTTTTGCAGAAATACTCGCTGCTACCGTACCTGATTTTAGTGTTGAAGCAGTTCCTGCTGCAGAGGGACCTGAACGAAGTGTTTACCGGCGGGATCAGCTCGTATAGCCTGATTTTAATGGCCATCAGCTTCCTGCAGGTGAGTGGGCCCGTGCGCCTCTGCCCGGTCGGCGGGATGGACTCGGGTGGCCGCCGAGCCACTCCCTCGGTCAGTGCCTCTTGGCTGTCAGGGAGGGCGCCAGCTCCAGGGTCACCCGTGGTAGCTGATTGGGCGAGAGCATGGGACGCGGGTGAGCCTTGACCGCAGGGCCAGTGTTCGTGGTCACCTGTGAGCTGGGTCTTCACGGGCCTGGGGCCACCCGGATCCAAGGAAAGGCTGCCCATTCCGGAGTGTCTGTCCCTCCCGTCCTGGTGAGGGCCAGGAGTCCCCTGAGTGCCTCAGGAGAGGGGGACAGCGTTTATGGCATGGTCCAGCTGGACTCTCATCTCAGTGCTCTCTGCATGCCTGTCTCGGCCTGAGCTGGAGGTCTGGCTTTGCAGCTGGAGGTGCTGGTGGCCTTGGGGTCCCAGGGCGCAGAGGGGTGCAGTGGCTGTGTGCATGGGCCGACTGTGTTCTGGGCCACACTCAGCCTGGGGCACCCCTGCTGGCAGCTGGCAAGGCCCTGGAGGGGGTTTTGGGACGTCGCTGCTGGTCTGAGAGCCCTTGCGGGGGGGCAGCTGACTGAGGGAGGCCCGGGGGCTGGGGAGGGTCCCTGGCCTGCAGTAGCAGTGGGAAGATTGGGGTGGGCGACCCCTTTCCTCAGCATGCGCTTCCTACTGGTTCTCTCCACCCTCCCCCTTCCCTGTGGCCGGGCAGGATGGGGTCTGAGGTGGGGGGCCAGTTCTCTGCAGCACCATGGCTCTTAACCACCCAGAGCTTGTTCGCAGCCAGTGGCCCCCCTGGGTTCCGCCCGTGGTGCTCACAGCTGCTGTCATGGGAACACGGCGGGGGGTAGCATAGCCTGGCCGTGGGTCTGTCCCCCTCTGTGCCAAGAGACCGCCCAGTTCAAGTCCATCCTTCAGTTCGACTTGAGGGCACCCAGCACTGAGAGCTTTGGTCTAATACTGACCCCTGTTGGCTGCGCTGACGGGACTACTGTGGCTGTATCCACCAGCGGGTTTGTACTCTGGGGCTACATTGTAACAATTTGTTTCAAAGTAGTTTCCGATACTTCAGCATCAGCAGGTGGCTTTAGTTTACAAGTGCTCTCTGCTGCTCCCACCCTTGGCTCAGGGCAGCTGCTGTCGGACCCTCCCACCCCCATTACTTGGCCGCTCTGGACAGGCTCCTGCCTGGGGAGGGGAGGGGGACAGTCGTCCTTCCTCCATGACCTCGACTGGGCTTCGGACCCTCCCAGATGCCGCCCCAGTGCCTCCGCCTGGAGCCAGGGTGGGACAGTGTCCCGCCTACCCAGCGGCCTTTGGGGTCCGCTTCGTGAAGTGGGCCCCTTAAGCCAGGCCTGCAGGATGTGGCCCGGCAGTTGCGGTTCACCAGGGGTCTCGGGAGAAGCCGCCCCCAGAGGAGCCCCCCCGCAGACCCTGCCCTGCTCCCCCAGCTGCACCCAAGGATCGACGCCCGCAGGGCCGACGAGAACCTGGGCATGCTGCTGGTGGAGTTCTTCGAGCTGTACGGGAGGAACTTCAACTACCTGAAGACCGGGATCCGCATCAAGGAGGGGGGCGCCTACATCGCCAAGGAGGACCTCATGAAGGCCATGACGAGTGGCCACCGGCCCTCCATGCTGTGTATCGAGGACCCGCTGCTGCCCGGTGAGGACGCCCCGCCCTCGCTCGCCCTCGGAGGGCCCCAGCCGTGCTGGCGGGTGGGTGTGTACTCATGGGCCTTCTCCGCCCAGGGAACGACGTGGGCCGCAGCTCGTACGGGGCCATGCAGGTGAAGCAGGTGTTCGACTACGCCTACATTGTGCTGAGCCACGCCGTGTCGCCGCTCGCCAGGTCCTATCCCAACAGAGACTCGGAGAGGTCAGGGGCCCTGCCCGCGAACCTGGGGTGGGGCCTGCAGCTATGTTGGGCGGAGTCTCTGTGGGGGCCTGCGCTATGCATGGCAGTGGCTCTGCGGGCCTCGGCCTGTCCCCCAGAACTGTCCACTGGGCCTTGGCCTGTCCTCTAGTGCTGTCCACTCTAGGTCTTGGCCTGCCCCCAGGGCTGTCCATTCTGGGCCCCAGGGGTTCTGTGGACCTCGGCCGGTCCTCCAGGGCTGTCCACTCTGGGACTTGACCCTCCCCGCAGCGCTGTCCATTCAGCCCCAAGAGCTCAGGGGGTCTTGTGCCCCAGGATACAGTGCTGGCGCCTGGCGACCTCTGCCCTCATATGGCCTGTGTCTTGGTGGAGACACATTTTGGCTCAGGGACTCCTTGGGGGCAGCACCCTTCCTGTGCTCTGATCTCAGGCGCTTATGCTCAGACGCCGCCAGCCCACCTGCATCTGCATGAATCCGGGCCCAGCCTCGGGTCTCGCATGCTCTGTCAGGGAGCATCTCGCGTGTTCCCTGCGGCCTTCCTTGGGTGGGCGTGAGGGGCCCCCCCCGGCCCACCGGCCTGACCCCACCATCCTGCGCAGCACCCTCGGGAGGATCATCAAGGTGACGCAGGAGGTGATCGACTACCGGCAGTGGATCAAGGAGAAGTGGGGGAGCAGGGTCCATGCAGGGCCTGACCTGGGTAAGGCACACCCCTGCCCCTCGGCGGAGCCCTGGGGAAGGGAGGAGGTTGCGGGCACTACGAGAGTCAATGTCAATGTCGGAACCTGTGAACAGCACGGCACGCACTCGTGTGGACACTGCCCTGGGCCTCGATGGGCAGCGAGACTCTGGAACAAAGTGTCCGCTCCTCACAGGCCAGAGGGTCACCCAGGCTGGGCCCTGCTCAGTCTTCGGGCTTCTGGGTTGGGTTCCGGGTTGGGTTCCCGTGCTGTGGCTGGGGGTGGACAGTCGTCCCGAGCCGGGCGGTTCCTAGGGGTGCTGACGGCCCGGCCTCTCCTGTAGACACCAGGATCAAGATCAAAGAGCGAGGGAGCCCCTGCCACTCCGACAAGACGCAGGGCCGGGAGCCCGAGTCCCCCTCGGGCCCGCGGCTCACCCTGTCCTTGCCTGGCCACCAGCTGTTGTCCTCCGGCTCCTCCGCGTCTTCCGTGTCCTCGCTCTCGGGCAGTGACATCGTGAGTGCCTGGCCCCCTCTCCCGGCCCCGGGGTGGGATGTGTCTGTTCTGGGCACACTTGTGGGAGCCTCACCTTCGTTTCCTGGGCCCCCCTCCGTCAGGAAGCCCCCGCCGGCCGGCGCCCCTGTCCCTGCTGCCCCTATACCTGGGCAGCGCGCCCGGCCGGCTGCAGTGCCGCCCGTGTTTTCTGCCCCCAGGACTCGGACACGCCAGCCTGCACCACGCCCAGTGTTTACCAGTTCAGCCTGCAGGCCTCGGCACCCCTGCTGGCCAGCCTCCCCGCCGCCCTGCCCATCCCCAGTGCCAAGGCCCCGCCCTCAGCCTCCAGGACGCTAGTCGTGACGACCAGCTCTCAGGTACATCTCCGCCTGGACCCCACGGGGCACCTGAGCATCGGGGGGCCGGGCAGTGCCCGCAGCGGTCCCGACACCCGTGTCCCTCTCGAGCTGTGCGGCCAGATCCTTTGGGTCCTGCACGTGATGCCCAGTTGCCACAAATCGGACGTGGGCGTGAGCCCGCATGAGGCCTCGCACCTGGCCGCACCCTGGGTCCTGCCTAAGTGAAGAGGCCCTGAGTGGATGGTGGCAGTTGGAACCGTTTGCTACGTGAGCAGCCCTGGGACAGCTGCTTCTGGGCACCGCGGCCTGGACGCACGCGCCCGCCGGAGAGGGCCTGAGTGCTCAGTGCCCGTGCTGCCCGCAGGCCCCGGGAGAGTGGAGCACTATGGTTGGGAGGGGGAGAGGGTCGCAGCGGAAGGGGCCATGAGTTGGGGGGGTCACTGCAGTGTGGGTCCCTGGAGGTGTGGCAGCTCCTGTCAGTGTACAGAGGCCACACCGGTGGTGCTCAGGGGACACTAGTGGTGCCTCAGTTGCTCGGGGAGGGGGCCCCAGTCCTAGGCCTGCGGGGCTGTGACAGCCCCAGCCCTGGAGGGGGACAGCCCAGCCCACCGCCCGCTGTCCTAGCCCCGCGGGGGCTGTGCTGGCCCTGCAGTTCCTGACCCACACCTCGCGTCTCCCTGGTGCTTGGATGCAGTGCAGTTCGGTGTGGTGCTTGGGCTGTGGGTGCCCGTCTTGTCCCCCTTTGCAGGGACCCCCGATGCCCTGCTGGCCGCAGTCAGAGGGTCGAGCTGCTGCGTCCTGGGTGCCGGGGACCTGGGTGTTGGGGGGGGGGGTGTGATGTCGCGTCCCCTGTTGTGCATTCTCACTGCCTCATCTGCGGGCGCTTCTGCCCTCCTGCCGGCCCGAGCCCTTGTCCGTCTGACGTCCATCTGCCCTTCGTTCCAGACCAGGTTCACGGTCCCCCCGCCCGCGCTGGGGGTGGCCTCGGTGCCCTGCAGACAAGTGGCCGTGGAAGGCACGCCCGCCCTGAAGGCCGTGCACCACATGCCCTCCCCGGCGCTGGCGGCCGCACCGGCACCCGCCCCACTCACCAGCCCTCACCTCTACCACAAGGTGGGTGTCACCGTGGGGAGGGGCGGGGGTGGCAACCCGGACCGCACTGCGGCCACTGTTCAGGGTGAGGCACAGATCAAGGTGCTGTGTCTTCCTTGGCGCTCAGTAACCTGATGCCAGACACGCATTTGGGGAGGTGGGTGGGGTTCAGGGGTCTCTGGGCCGCTCTTCCCCCCCCCCCCCAAGAGGAACTTCCCCACCCCTGCAGCATGAGGCCGGTCCCGTTCTGGGGGTGTCCCATGGCCAGTGGGCATTTCTTGCTCTGCCCCGTCTCCTTGCCCCCGGCACGTCTCACCCTAGGTGCCTGGTCTGGCCCTCCTGCACAGAGGAGGCTGGTGTTCTAGAACATTCCAGTGTAGCACCCCATGCCCTGCGGTGGGTCCCTACCCAGCAGGCGTGGGCAACAGCTGCGCATGGGGGCTCACGTGGCCTCACTCGGAGTTGGCCATGCCGGGCTCCCATGCTCACACGTGTTGTGGCAAGGCGCGTGCATTGCGTGTGTGCGTGCGGGGCCCCTTCCCTCCTGGGTCGCAGAGTCCCCCTGGGTGGGCTTTGCCTCGCCCCCGACCCACCCTCCTCTCTGTCGCAGCAGCACAGCGGCATGAAGCTGGCCATGAAGGGGTCCCACGGCCATGGCCACGGCCAGGGGGGCAGCTACAGCGCCGTGGGCAGCGGGGCCGTGCGGCCCCCCGTCGGGAACCGGGGACACCACCAGTACAACCGCACGGGCTGGAGGAGGAAAAAGCACACGCACACGCGGGACAGCCTGCCGGTCAGCCTCAGCAGATAGTGACCCCGGGCGCCGCCCCCTCCCCAACGCGCGGACGGGGCCGGGGCGCCCACGGGACCCACCAGCGCCGCCCGCGGCCACCACCTGCGAGCTCCGCGCCTGGACGCCGGGCGGGTGTGGACGCTGCTGCAGGGGCCCGGAGGGCCGCCGTGGGACTGGTCACTCTGTATATACGGAAAACTTATGATTTGTGCAATAACTCAGATATTTCTTATTTAATTTCATATTTTCACATAAGTTATATTTAAGGGAGGGAGGGATTTTTTTAAAACGCGCTTCGAGCCTTTCCCGAGTCGCATTTTCTAAGTTGGGTTCATCGTGCGGCCTCCCGCCTCCCCGCGGCCGCGGGGGCGCCTCCTGTCCCGGGCTGGGGGCGGGGAGGCCGGGGCGCCGGGGGCGGCTGTCCCCAGCCTCCGCGGCCCGCCAGGCAGCTCGCGCCGGCCATGGAGTTTTAAAGTTTGGGGTTTTGGTTCTTTTAAACTCGGCAACAAATCCAGCATCTGAAGTGCCAGAAGTGAGCTTGGTGGGGCGAGAGCTCGGCGGGCGCCCGCTTGGGGAGCGTGGAAAGGGGTTATGTTGATTCCGTGCGGGATCTGTCGCAGTATGCCTTCGTTCTGTTAAGAGCAACCTAGGAGGACTGTCGGGCGGTGGGGGCCTGGGCCCTGACCCGCCCTTGTCCAGGGGGTCCACCGGTGGGGAGCGTGAGAGAAGCCTGTGCCGCCGTCTCTCGGGACGCGCCAGCATGGGGCAGCACGTTTTCTGCAGTTCCCAATGAACGAGTTAGCCAAAATATTTAAAAGCTATTTAAATTGTGACCCTATTGATCAATATTTATAAACTGATAGATAGGCGTATACTAATCTCTCCACAGTAGCAATATTGACTCCCCACCTGGGCCGGGCCAGGGCCGTGCTCCGCTCCGTGCCCCCGCCAGGAGCCGGACGAACTGGCCCGGCCGCCCCGCGGCCCGCCCGCAGGTGTACCACAGAGATCATGTGCCGGTCCGTCCTGTGTGCACAACGAGACGGAAGCTCAGAATGACATATTTTTATGTAAAGTTTTTCTATTCTTTGATTTTTAATAAACTTTGGAAACAAAATCGTGTGTGTGTTTCTGTGTGTGTGTGTATGTATGCGTGTGTGTGTGTGTGTGTGTGTGTTATGCGTGTGTGTGCCTGTGTGTGCGGACATGCATGGCTGCAGTCCCGGGCCCCCGGCCCTCCCGCGGTGTGTGCCAGCCTGCCTTCGTCTGCACGCACGGCTAATGCTCGCTGGGCCGCAGGAACTATCCAAGTGGCTGCTTCTGGCAGACGCGGCCCCTCGGACTTCAGTTTGGTTCTTGAAGCGACCAGACTGATCACAGTTTGTCTTCGGCTCCTTCAGGAAGAGCACAGCGCCTGTCAGACGTCCCCGGGCCTTGTGAGTGAGTTGGCTGCTCCTCAGCTGTCCACCCAGCCTTGGCCGCAGGGAGGAACCTCGGACAGGCGCCTGTGAGGGTCGCGGCGCCGGCCATTGCCCTGACCTCCCCGCAGGCCCTGCCCTCGGCTCCTGAGACGTGGGGCGTTGGAGGGAGGGGGGCCTGGGGCCTGGGGGTGTCACCCACACACATGAGCTAGTGCGGCGCTGGGGACGGCTCCAGAGACGTGGCAACCTGCCGGCCGTGATGCCCGTCCCCTGCTTGGTCACAGACGCACTACCCTGTCGGCCTCCACGCTGAGCCCTGGGGCCATACATGCCCTCCCCCTCTCCCCTGGGACTAGTGTTTGCCCCCTGAGTGCCTGCTCTGTGTCGCCCTTTCAGCCTCAGCCCCTGGTCCCTGGATGCTCTGGGAATGTGCAGGGACACATGTCCTTCTTTCTTGCAAAGATCCTGCCCGCCTTGAGGCAGCTGACAGAGGAGGGTGGTTTAGGACCCAGAGTGGCTGCTGGGAGGTACATGTGCCCACAAACATGCTCACATAAGCATGCACACGCACACGTGCTCATAGAATACACCCACAGTGCTCGTGTGTGCAGGCACAATCACATGCATTTGCACATACACACATGCAGACACGTCTACATACAGACGTGCATCTATATGCATGCAGAATGCGCATGTGTGTATACATATGTTCACGCAGGCACATGCACACATCTGATGTACCCATGATGCACATCTGCGCAGTCATGAGTGTATACACTATACCTACTGTGCGTGTGCATGCCTGTGCATGCAGACCGGTGCACAGATGCGTGTGCGCACATACACACGTACATATATAGACATGCATATGCAGATAGGCACATGCATGTATATGCATACAGAGTGCATGTGTGTCTATGCAACATGTGTCCCTAAAGCACACACTATGCAGTTACCCCTGTATATATCCACACGTGTGCGGGCACATTTACACACCCTAATGCACACAGTTTGCACAGGCACATGGGCGAGTATGTGTGCTCACGAACAGACTTGCACATGCTGTGTGTGGGGATGAGTATATGCAGGCATACAGCCACATACACGTATGTATTCACATGCACACGCTCCAGATACACAACATTTGGGGCTGATCCTCATTAAACCTAGACTGAGGGGTCAGAGCTAGAGGACAGCTAGGAGGGTGGTGGCCTTGCACGCGGCCAGCCTGTGCTCCTGCCTGGCACCCCCTAGGGTGACTCCTGAGCACAGAGCCAAGAGTGGCCCCGGAGCACTTCCCACTGGGCCCAGTAACAGCAGCAGCGAAGGAATAGGCCGGAACTTGGTTTGACTCCGATTCGCACAACTGACAGAGTGGGACCCTGGGACATAGGCATGGCCGGCGTCGCTTTCGTGAGAAAGGCCAGGTGAGGCCCAGCCCCGGGCACCCCTCCCTGGATTCGGGCAGGGAAGGTGCAGCAGGGAGCCAGGCCAGGCCCGGAGTTGGACCTCGGGAGAGCACGTGGCTGTTGTGGTATGAGCTGTGGCAGGAACCAGGCCCTACCCGATTTCAGGTCCCGGGGAAGTATCCTGTGAGCAAGGTGACAGTTGTGTCCATACGTGAGACCACCCAGCCTCTGAGACAGCTGGGAGGCCACGTAGAGCTGCCCCGCTCAAGGGCCCACGGCCTGGTGGGCTGGACCCAGAGACATCCACTCCCTGCTGCCCTTTGCTCCTCATGAGCCTGATGACCTCCTGCTGACCTCGTCCCGGCAGACACCAACGCCACTGAGTCGGGTTGCTTCCAGGTCTGGCTGGGCACAGCCTGCTGGGGAATTCTCTAGAACTTCCCAGATGCAGGCATAAGTGTCCCCAGAAGTGACGAGGCTTCTGAGGCTGAAGGTGGGCGGTCAGCTCCCCTGGCTTTGATGTTGATCACGGTCAAAATCCCGGAACAGAAGCACAGCAACGCTGGAGTGAATCTGAGACACCCTCGGGGAGAAAAGCACCGAGAAAGGCCTGGACTGAATGCAAATGTTCACCTTGAGGGCTGAGACCCAGGAGCTGCGTTCAGGCTCATCCCTGGTCAGTCCCCTGGAGGACCCTTGCATGACTTGGGGGGGCGGGTGGGATCCCGGACCAAGGCCCCAAACAGCATCACGTCCGTGGGCCTTTGCCCTGAACTGTGAGTTCCCTTGGCAGAGAATTGGCCGCCCGACCCCCATGACTCACACTTCAGTTCTCATCAGCCTCCATCTGAACTCTGCCTCCCGCTGGGCAAAATCACTCACTGCTTGTCTTTCTTCTGACTTTTGCTTCCCAGAATTATTTTATTGTTTTGCCACAAATGATGTAGGCAGGTAGAGGAGGAAGGGCGCGCCCCTCGGGAAGTGATAAACCCCAATAGCCTAAGACTGCAAGAAGCAGGAACTAGGGCCTGATGAGACCCTCACCTGGTGCCAACGGACCCAGAGAAGGCCAGACCCCACCCCACCCCCACGCCCCACCGCCAAATGCTCCAGAGGAACAAAAGTCAGGAAAGGCAACTCTACCCCCTTGGCAACCACCCTAGCAACGGACTCTTACCTTGCCAGAAAGCCCCATGTAGGATGGCGAGGGAAAACCCCTATAAAAGCATCTTGAACAAAGGAGGTGTGAATATGCTGCCTGAATCCATGTGTTGCGCGTGTCCACGTGGTCACGGACATGCAGCCTGAGCACATGTGCTGCCCACATCTCCCCTCTTGAGATGTGTACTGGACTCTCTCTCCATCTTCTCTGTTGAGCGCATCACTCTCTCTCCCTCTCCCTCCATCCCCTCTCTCAAAAAGGCCTCCAGGGACTGGAGCAATAGCACAGCGTGTAGGGCGTTTGCCTTGTCCAGGGCTGACCCGGGTTCAATCCCCAGCATTCCATATGGTCCCCCGAGTACTGCCAGGAGAAACTCCTGAGTGCAGAGCCAGGAGTTACCCATGAGCATAGCTGGGTGTGACCCAAAAAGCAAAAAAAAAAAAAAAAAAAAAAAAAGCCTCCAAATAAAAGCTTTTTACTTCACCATCTCCTGAAATTTCTTTCTGTGAGAAAGACAAGGACCTGGAAGGCCTGGGTGAGGCTGGGTTTCCTTCTCTGGCCTTCATTCCTGCTGGAGCTTCTCTCTGAGATGGGCATAGCCTTGGCTGGGTCTGTTGGCACCAGGTAAGTCTCCCCAGGCTGGGATTTTTTGCAGCCTGAGGGCTATTGGCTTTATTCCACTGCCGTGGGGTCTTCCCTATCCCTTGCCTCCATCAGTACCATCTGTCTTTTGTTTGCTTGGGGCCACCCCAGGTGGTACTCAGGCCTTACTCCTGGCTCTGCACTTGGGATCACTCCCAGCTCAGGATCACACGGGCTGCTGGGAATCAAACCTGGGTCAGCTGCGTGCAAGGCAAATGCCCCTCCCTCCCCCTTCCAGCAGCTGAGCGGCACCGCCCAATGGTGCCCCATCTTCTTCAGACATCGCCCACCAAGGATGGAAGCCAGAGATGGCGCTGGGCCTGCACCTCACTGTGTGTCTTGGGAGCCTGGGCCAGTGTGTGTGTGTGGGGGGGGTGGGGTGTGTGTTCGAGGAGGCGCCCACTCCCCTTTCTGGCCGGCTGGCCCCTTCCTGGGCGCTTGCTGGCTTAGTTTATTTCAGTGGTTCTGCCTCACTCCGGTCCACCCTGTTCGCACTCAGATCACTTCACTGCACCCGCAGCGGTGGGGGACCCTGTACCTGTACCTGGACAGGCTATCTGCGGCCAGCAGGGTGGGGAAGGGCCCCCGCGGTGCACTGCTGCCGTGGGTCGGCAGGGGGCGCTCTCGGCACGGCTAAAAACAGGACGAGGCTGCAGTGTTTCTTCCAGTCCTTCCCTTCCCTCCCCTGCCCTGGACCTGGTGGGCCCCACTGCCCGGTGCAAGCACTCAGCTCCGCCCCGGGGGGAGAGGGATGGAGAAGCCCAGTCAGTCAAGCGCCTTTCTGAGCCACATGCCCAGGGCCCACATTTCTTCGTTCTAAAAAGAATATTTCACCTCCTTCGAGAACTTTCCACCGTACTACCTTCCAGTTTGCTAATTCTGTCTTTTCTGTTTCCATTTTACTGTTAAAACTTTTCATTAGCAGTCAGAGAGATAGTGTAGTGGGTCGGGTGTCTGTCTGGCCCGGCCCTGGCACCCGGTATGGTCCCCTGAGACCGCCAGGAGTGACCCCTGAGCCTGGAGCCAGGAGTCAGCCCTGAGCACTGCCAGGGGTGGCCCCAAACAAACAAAAAATAAAAACAAACCCAACTTTCCATTAATTTCCCAGGGGTGGCCCCAAACAAAACAATTAACAACAACAACAAAAACCAAACTTTTCATTAAATTCCCAATTTTATGTGTTTTATTTTTCGAGTCTGCGAGAGTCATTATCTTAAAAAAATAAATTCCGCGTCTGGAGCCATAGCACAGCGGGTAGGACGTTTGCCTTGCACGCGGCCGACCCGGGTTCAATTCCCAGCATCCCATATGGTCCCCCGAGCACCGCCAGGAGTAATTCCTGAGTGCATGGAGAATAACTGGATGACAGTGACACAGTGATTATTTCTGGGTA